AGTTACCAACCTCCAAGTCATGCAATTAATAATTTCCAGAATTTTTGCCCGACTTTTATCTGGAGGTCTTCTACCGGAAACCCTATAGGGAACTTTGGGGGCCCTACTGAGGACCCAAACCTTTCAGTCCTGTGTCACACAGCAGCAGAAACATCGGCAAAACACTTGTCTGGGCTTTTAGCTAGTACCTCTGCGGAAGTACGGTATAACATCTTTGATAGACACATATATAAATGTGGATAAGTTAAGTAAGTTGCATTTCGAGGTGATATATATATATATATATATATATACATGTGCTACCTCTTAAGCGAAATGGCTATCGGACTGGTAGGCGGCGTCTATTCAATTCTTAACAATCCAAAACCTGACCGAATTCTCTCTGGTTGACCAAAACCTCCTCTGTAACCTTTGTATGCATTGGTTTTTTTAAATATACGTTTATGTCAACCTTAAAATCAGAACATTTTAGAAATTGGTAGCTTTAGCTTTTCACGAAATAGCCTCATCACCTGGTTCTGAAAATAAATTCAGATTGGCAGCAAACTTCTACAGTATGGCGAGTACTGCAAGCAAATGCCGCAATTTGCGAAAGACTGGTAGTCACTCGCAAGCCAGCATTAAGTAGATTTGCAATACTGACTGTCTTGCAGTCTAATCTCAAGTCTTTTTAGTCACGCCAGGATGCCGGCTCTTTAATAAGCTTCTTCCCGATTACTTATAAAATGTACATTCTGAAAAAATGGCAACTTAAAAAGTATGCATCTTTATCATTGACTTTGACCACCTGTATAAATTCAAATGCATTTTATAGAAAACAGGCACGATAATATTCCTTCTTGAACTAGTTGGGTGGCAAATTGCGTCTTCTTTAAACTTTATACTTCAACAAACGGTATCTTTGGGTTTAAAAATGTTCTAAATTGCTGAATAATTGTGAATTTCACCAGCTGCTTCACCTGAATTCAAGGTTTTCGCCAATTTCGACAATTTTGGATGCATTCTGCATAATATATATAATAGCCGCCAAGGGCATCATTTTATAGTACTTGTGTGAATTGAAGTGGAGTACTTGCCAACTTCCGAAAATATTTTAAAAAAGGGGAAGGCATTTGTCCTTAATTATTTTTATTTTACGTCCATTATTGTGGGGCCATGCGCACCGCTTTAGGAAGTCTTTCTACGCGGTACCGCCTGATCTGCAAGCCAATCAGACCACACCTACTCTACAGTGTCTTCACACCGGAGAAATTCTGGTTGCAAACAATGTTCGTGAGGTAAGGTTTCTACGCGGTATGCCTGCGGATTTGCCCGTGCCCCACTTAATCTACAAAATGCTTTCTTAAACTTGCTGGTCAATGTCTCTAAGCATCGCATATATGCAAAAGAACTAGACTCAAGATTCGTGCATTAATTTCTTTATAAAGTAAACATGGCAGGATGGAAACTGGAGTTCATATTACCCGGACACACTTAGATAAAGCTGGGGAACCCACTGCCGAACCCAATTTCTCGCAGCTGCGTTATACAGCGGCACAAAAACGGGAAAATACGCGTGTCTTGGCTTTTAGTTAGTAACTGTGCTGCCAGTCCGCTAAATAACAAGATATTTAAAGCACATTTTTCCTGATGGAAATTTGAAGATGGCATAAACAGCAGAATTTCATGGATCCATAAATTTCCAGAGTGCTCATCACTTGCTTCCTCTTTCTACATAGCGTAAGACAATACAAAAGTGCATTCTTACAGAAAAGGTCAGTAAGGTTATAGAGCAGAGTCAGGAGGGCCAATCAGTAAAGTAAGCATTTTAAAACACCGTGGAAAGTGAGGAAAAAGTAAAAACGAAAAGGTGCACAGGGAAGTGTGTAAATCAGGGAGCCGGATGTTATCAGGGCAAAGTTAGGTTAAGCACATGCTCTATCTGTTTATATACGCTGCCTCTAGGTAGCGCAAGGTGCGAGTTATTCGTGCCCGAACAAGTACTCGGGTTCCACAGAATGACGCGTATCAACCAAGTGTCCCAGTAACATCTCGCTCTCTGATTTACACATTTTCCTGCCCACCTTTTCACTTTAAAGTTTTTCCTCCCTTTTTTTTCCACAGTATTTTAATATGTTTACGTTTCTGATTAGGCTTTGTAACTTTATTGAACTTTTCTGTACGAATTCAGTTGTGTATTTTCTCATACGTTATTCACGTTATATAACTCTCGAAATTTATGGACCCATTAAATTCTGCTCTTTATGCAATCTTCAAACAAGATATTTAGCATTATTTACCCTCCCTCGTTTTCCTTCCGAGGCCAATCCTAGGCCACACTTTGGTGCCCTTTTTTCCAATGTAAGGAAATTTAAATCCAAACCTGCGCGTCTAGATGGCGTGGCAGTTGTCGTTGGCGGAGACGGGGAATTGTGACAGCTAGTCCAGTTGCAGTAAACAAATTAATTTTTTCAGTACGCACAGTGGTCCAGTTTCGCAGTATAAAAACTTTCCACGATCACTGGAAAAAGAGTTTTATTCTTCGGGTGCATACACTAATTTATCCGCAGAGACAATTCGATAAGGGTAACGCGTAAAACAGCTGTTGCGTTGTTTATAGAACACAGACGCTATATCATCGCATACCTATCAAGACTGGTTTCACCCACGTTCATTGTCGGCTGTCGTAATTGCCGTAGGTGGTATGAAAACGATGAGTTTTAATTATAGGACGCTTATTAACCCTGTGCAACTCTCCTATTTTTATTATCAGTGCAATTATACAGGCCCGATAATGAACGGCTAAAAACATATGTTTTCCGAGTTGACTTTTAAAATAACCAACTGTTGGATCAATAAGCCACCATAACTGCAGCAACGCCAAGTTACATAGGCATGTACTGGC